CAACGCAATATTAAAACTAGGGCTGCCGGAAAAGACCTGTTCACACCAAGAACGATAATGACTACTGTAACTATTACAATATTTATATCAGAATCAGTTTTGGTTTTTTGCTGTTCTTGTTCTATTTACGTGGCTTTAATCAGCAGATGTCTTCAGCATGCTAAGTTTCGAGCGCATCTAAACAGTGAATCTAGCTAGGGTAATCTTTCAAATCTAACAGTGAATTTAGCTAACGTAGTCAATGTAGTAGAATAAAAACAACACAGTCTCTTTCACTGCAACTTCTAATTAGGCACGACAATGTTGTCAAAACTAGCGCTGGATACCTGAGGTAATTTTATGTTACACTGTTTGCTGTATAGAAATTCTCGACAACTTCGTCTGCCTTTTTAAATGTGCAAGCTATTTAAATTCTAATGAATTCTGATTAGCTTTCAGTTTTTTATTGTTCATCAGCTGGGAAAAAAATGGTTCTGAAAGTGATCCCAATGATATTGTTCCTATATATCGTTATCGTTATACAGTAGTCGTGGTGTTAACTCTACTATTCTCTTAAATTCAGAACAATTTTTAGAACATTATCTTTATAGTTATAGTTATTGTTCTTGGTGTGAACGGGCCTCAAGGGGGGACAGCTGGACCTTATGTTCTGGGCATTGAGCTTGAGTGGGGGCCAGTATTGGATCGCTGGAAAACAATCACAATTTTAACCAAGCGAAAGTAGTGTAGCAAACTAGGGTAGCAAACTGAGAATGTGAGTGGGTGCGTATTCAGATTTTTTCCACCTAAAACCCTTTGATTAAGATCAAATTAACCTAGATGCTGCCCTGCTGGCTTCAATGTTTGCACTTTGAATAATGGTGAATATTTGAGAGGTCATGGTTGTGTTGGTGGCATTTCACTCATGAAGGCGATCCAAAATGGGGTTTGCTGAAGCAATGTCCTTTAAGTCAACACAAAATCGAAATGGACGCTATTTACTTTTTAACGCACATTTTTGGTTTTATTGTGCATGATTCACTGGTGTGCATTATTCATAATAAAAAAATGTTTGCCTTTGTAAACTTCTATCAAACTGTGATAACGTGCTCATCTGCCTCTGAATCTGAAATAACTTTCCTTTTTAAATGATGCTATGAATCCCTCTTACTTTCAGCCCTTTGCCTCCAACCGCCAGGCTCCATATGCACACATTTAATGATCCAGCCAATGAATAAACTCAATTCCCATCTGAAAACGGTGAGGTTTGTGAACACTGTTTCACGTTCACATTAATAGCAGACACTGTTTACATGCTTCGACAGGCCATGATCTTTTTCACAAACTATCTGTGAATCCAAACAAAATGTTTGACCATTGGGCAAATACACTGTGGACACTTCAAACAATTACAGTAACTAACATGCGGGGCTGCATCTTCTTGTTTAAACTGATGAACCACATAAGCATTCTGTGTGTGTCCCAATTAATTTCTTTCTATCTATCTATCTATCTATCTATCTATCCAATGCAAGTTTAATATCTGTATATCTTCTACTCTAACTGTATTTTTATTGCTGCAGCTCTCTTGATCTAGATGCATAAATAGCATTCCATCAGGAAATCCACATGGACGTGATAAAAAACTTTATTATTCATCATTCCTCTAATTAAGAGAGTTCGTTAACTCACTCTCTGGCCCCTGGGGGGGTTATTTTGCTGATGAACACTTAAGTAGTACGCAATGGAAATGCCAATTAACTCCATTTACGCTTCCAGACACTCTACACCTGCATAAAGACAGCCTGCAATAAAAATACCTCAACAGAAAGACAAATTCCTCATATTACCAGTAAGATATAGGCCTACCATCCAAACACAAATGTGAGAAAAGAAATCACTCTCATGCACACATATATGCATAAAATGTGCAGTAGTCTACATGTAATGGGCAAAATGGATACAAACATGGTCATTTAACGCTGAAAACCTAAATGGAGCTGCAAAGGTGAGTCACACACTAAGCTGATTGTTACTTTGCAGTATGTGTCAGCTATAAAGGAGATCTGACTGTTAGCATTTTGATACTTGAGCCTTCAAAGAAATACCAGGCACATAACATAGTGCCAGCGAGGCTGAATAACCTGTGCTTAAATTACAGGTGCATCAGTCACAAAGCTATCAAATGACTTAAAATGTCAAGGAGAACATCTCAGAAATAACAACAATATGCCAGACATGCACCAGCGGCATCAGTGAAATAGAATAGCGACTGAAAGTTGGCACTTACTGACAGAGGCGGCCTTCACAGCATGATTGCTAAATGCCACAAAAGTACTGCTTAAATAAAACTCACAGAATTGAATCGGCACCTCTGTGTCCCAGAAGAACATACTGTGGAAAGGAAGATTTTACAAAGCTGCAGCTCAAAAAATGCTTGTAAAGCCAGTATATGAGGAGCACAAAACCCACAAAAGTAATTTGGTTTGATGAGTGACCTTTCACTCTGTTACCTACATCCAGACAGGCTTAATGTTTGGAGAAAGCCAAACCCACTTGTTAAACTTGGTTGTGGAACTCTAATTGTATGGGATAATAGATCTTATGAAGGTCATTAGGTCTCATGATTCCACAGGATTGTTGTATAACAGCCCAGGAATATTAGATTTTAGAAGGCCATATACCCTCAATGTTGCAGACATCTTTCCCTCTTTATATTCCCACTTGTATTAAAGTTGACACATCATTTCCACCTTCATTACTCAAAGAATTACCCTCTTAAATAGTGCAATTTCACACTACACACAGTTTAGGACGTCTTCAACAGAATTCAAGAAGAAACGAAGCCATTGCCGAGGCAAAGAGTGGTCCTGCCCTTTATGAGGACCTTGATGTTTCTGTTACTTAACCTATAATAAACAAATGACTTAACAACAATTAAATGATTCATTATAAGTAAGAGCTTCCGACTACTTGCAAGAATACATACAAAAAAATCAACAAAACTCCAAAATAAAGGTTCCAAAAGGTTTTTTTTCTGCAGTGATGCCTTTGAAGAACCATTTTGAGTTCCTCAAAGAACCTTTTAATGAGCATTCTAACAGAATAATTTTTTTTTCTTAGTGTGAAGAACATTTCTTAATTAACCTTTTTCCACTACAAAGAACCTTTTGTGGACTGGAATCCATGGGTTCCATGGATGTTAAAGGTTCTTCATGGAACCATCGATGCCAATAAAGAATCTTTATTTTTAATAGGGTGGCATTCAGAATTGCCCACCCAGACAACACTGTAAAATGTTTTGTAAAAATGTTATGCACACTGACAATGTGCCATGTTCTAATATCTAAATCGATTGGTCTAATTCAAGTGAAAAATATTATTTAAGATGACTGAATATTAGGTTGCACCAATACACTTAATTTTTAGTGTCAGATCAGATAAAAATAGTTCATATCGGTAACAACTGCACATTTTCACTCTTTACGATGCATGAAACACATACCGACACTCATGCATAAGATACATTTCAATCAAATTCACAACTGTAGCACAATACCCCAGATTATGTTTTACATCAGGGGTGCCCAAACTCGGTCCTGGAGGGTCCTGGAGGTCCTGCAGAGTTTAGCTCCAACCCTAATTAAACACACCTGAACCAGCTAATCAAGCTCTTAGTATGTATGTTAGAAACTTCCCGGCAGGTGTGTTGAGGCAAGTTTAAGCTAAACTCTGCAGGACACCGGCCCTCCAGGACCGAGTTTGGGCACCCCTGTTTTACATCAATATTCACAACAATCAAAACCACTCAACCGCCACCCTCTCCTCTTCATCTGCCTCTCTTTTTTATAGTGTTCCTCAACCATTTTTTCCCCAGGGTTCCTGTTAGGGATGCTCCGATCCGCCTTTTTTGCCTCCGATACCGATTCTTATGCATATATGTGTGCATGAGAGTGATTTCTTTTTACAAGAAAATACTATTTCAGTCTTTATAATTCCAAATTTCACATTTAATTCAATGTGTTACTTTTCCCGATACTTTGTAATTATTTGTGATATGTACTATTAATTTCTGAATTTCTGCAATTTTCTTCAGTGCACATGCAACCCGACTATGATGCTATAAACTATAACTAAACATCATACATTTTTAAATAATAATAATAGTTCAAACTAAAAAGTAATAAAATGCATCTTTGATGGATCACACAGGGAATTTAATTTTTTTTTAAATATATATTTCACTGCAAAACAGCCTACGCGTGGTCTTCAATATAATTTAAATGAGGTGAATCTCTTTAAATAAGGTAATTAAGATTTATTAAGACTCATTAATAAACGTTTACAATATTTTACAGTGGGGAAAAAAAGAAAAAACAAAGAAAACAAAGTTCAACAAGGAGAGGAGCTTGCACACATAATGGTAGAAGATTTCTTACAACAAAATACGTTTTATTTAAAGGCCAAAAATGTGGAAAAAAAAGTGAAAAAAAGAGCTCAGTGCAAAAAAAAATTCGATTCAAAACATTTTAACAGTAAAATTATATGTATTGTCTTTTAAATATGTCAATTATTTACATAATATAATTAAGATAAATTACAAATTTAACTTTTTTTTTTTTTTCATTGTACTCATTTTAGGTCTTGGAGCAGTCTTCCAAAATGTGCAGTACTGGGTCTCCCACAGAACCCGGATCGAGAAACACTGCTCTACATCAGCTGTCATCTGTTTCAGCACCGCGGACAGCGACCATCCAAACGCAAGACTCGAGAACACTAGCCCTCAAAAACACTTCAGGTCAACTTGTCCCTCAATTACGCTGCAGGGCCCATTGAAACCACGTTTTAGTGGGATTTCTACACTGCATCAGCTAAACTGGTGTTTCTGAGCACCGCGTCTGTGAGTGGTGGCTCGAAACTGCAAAGCAACCTCATAAAGACACATTCAATTAAATTGTTTCACTGTAAGGTAGATGAGACCCCTGACGAGAACAATTACTGCACACAATTATATTACTTACTGCGTCGTGCAGGCTCTTTTGGGTACGGTCTGTGGAGATGGTCCTTGAGGGATGCTTGATATAGCCAACGTGTGTGTGTGTGTGTGTGTGCGTGTGCGTACTAGTAAGACGACAGGTAAATAAATATGCTCTTTTAATTGCTCGCGCTAGGCGTTCACTACGCACAGCTTCGTATTAAACTTCTGTCTCCGTGCGCGTAAAATTGCTCTTGTACGATTAATATTGCGTGCGTCGCTTGTGTGCGAGATTAACCTTGCACAATTGCTTTTAAATGTTCAGGCGATTAAATAACAGTCGAATGTTTTTTAAATAACAAAAAATAATAATAATCAGAAAACAAGATATTCAGTTGTGCTTCGCGTAAACGTATTGCTCGATTACAACGACTGACAACAAATACAACAAATCGCACACGCAAAAAAGAAGCGATTGTGATTGACGTAAACGTTGACACACTACTGTTTACACACCTCCGACGGACTGTCGTTTTTCGCAAATCGTACGAACATCAGACGCTAGCGTACTTGCCACGATTCCGTCGCCTAAAAGACTTGCAGGTAAAAAATAAATACCAAATATCGATGGGAATTAAACGGCTCATGAGAGTATCCTCTGTGGAAGCCAGTCAGGACTGAATATATATGATGTAATACCGGCAAAAAAGAAACACGGTAGCTACACACAGACGACGGACGACGACGGCTCGCGGAGCCTCCCTCCGCTTCCTCGCGCTCTCGGTAACGTTACTGTCCCTCGCTCGCTCGCGACGTCACAGGGCAGTGCGCCTCTCTCTCATCTGCAGTCTGTAGTGTGCAGTCTGTACACTACATGAAGACACCGCCGGTGAATAGAGTGGGAATTAAAGCGCTCATTGGCTGACGGAAAGACAGATGGTGCGCTCTATCCCAGTTAAATAGTGCAGACCTCCTCCCTGCGCAGGGTGCATGAGCCAATGGAAGCCCGTGGTCTCCAGATCTCCTCTTCTAGTGAAGTGTCACTTTGATGTATGTAGTAATTCTGTCCTTGTGTTATATTTATTCGTCGACTGGAGCGTCTTCTTTTGTGAGGAACGAAGCTGATTTGCTGGCTTAGTCTGTTGGCTGGTTTTATAACGGGTTTCGAGCACTTTTTAGCTGGCAGACCAGTTGAACATCCTGGCTTATCCAGGTTGGGAGAGCATAAACCAGTTATGACAAGCAAACCATCTTAGGCTGGTTTAAGATTTTTTTTTTTAGCTGGGTTGGTGCTTCAATGGTCACTTCCTGGACGACTACGCATTATTACAGTGCTTTCAAGGCAGCATTGTATTCCCTACAGGAAAAAAAAAAACAGCTCAAGCTTGTATTAACTGGCAGCGGTAATAAACAACAACTTATATGCTGCTTAATAGCTTATTTAAAATATAACTTACTTACTTACTTATAAATTCACTTATTCACTTTTTATTTCGTTAAATACCATCACATTTCCCCTGTTCTGGCCTTTAGATCTTGCTCCAAATTTTGAGCCTGCACTTTTGAAGCAATCTATGAACAAATGAGAGATTTTACCACAATTATCTGTTCTTTGCACTCAATAATTTGACATTTAAAGATTATATATTATATTAGTTTATTTAGAAGATCTTTATATTTTTCAGCTGTGTGCACACATTCACTCTATAAGCATCTACAAATTTACCATCTGATCTACAGATAGATTCATTAGCCAATTCTTATATACAAGATAAGTATATTTATTATTACATTTTGCAGACAATTCTGATTAAAAGATTTGTTCGAAAATTTAGTTTGAAGTTGATATTCAAGCATTCTGTTTTACTTGAACTGTTTTACTACTGCTGCTGCAAGATTTTAAAGCTCAAACTAGTTAACATGCTGTTTTATTAAATGTATTGAATATTACATTAATATATATATATATAATTTATAATATGTTTCAGTGTGTGTGTGTGTGTGTGTATAGGTAGATATACACATACATACTGAAAAATGTTGGTATAGAAATTAGTTTTACTCAGAAAATGCTGGTAAATTTCACAATTACAAATAAACAAGTAACACATTGAATTAAACATTAAATTTTAGAGTAGAAAAACTAAAATGAGTAAAATTTAATAATCTGAGTTTTATTTACATCTTTTTTTTTTTTTACTACAGTACGCACATGTATATTTGCATGCAGATTTGCACCGGCCTTCTTTCTATTTGCATATTAAATTTTGTAATTGATTATTTCTGCCAATTTCTGATAATTTCTGTTATGTGACAACAGCAAAGCATCATAACTAAAGCCTATAAACCTAAGCTTATCTACAACTAAAGCTATTCAGTTTGTTGTCCTATTACCCAGTTGGAAATTAGCATTTTTGAGCCATGGATTCTCTAAGGAATTGTCAGTGGGTTTTGAGAATGACAATTTACAACAAAATTAGGGCTGTGGTTTATATTGTTTTGAGGAGATGTTTTGATCTACAACATAAATTCCATATTAGCTTAAAGAAAAACATTTTTAATACATTGTATTCTTAATAAACTATACATCTTTTTGTAGCAACTGCTTCAGAATTAAAAAAAAAAAAAAGTCTAAGTTTTTTCAACACATTATTTTATTCATAATCCTAAAACTATTCTTAAAAACCTAAGAAATTCCCAAGGGAACCAGTGGTGAAATATCCTTCTGGATTGGCCTACAAATCGACATAATGACCGAACAGCTATTCTCTTTTTGTATTTCCTTGAAGAAATAAAAAGTTAGTTCCCAGTTTCTTGTTTCCAGCTTGGGAATGGAAGAGTTCCTCTGTGAGAGTGCTGCTCTAAATCCTGTGTCTCTGTTCTTGGCAGTGGAAGCTGAGAGGATGAGTCATGCTGGTTGAAAATGATATCTCACTATTTGATGAGAGCAGCATTTATCATGTGAGTGAGGGTGCGGGCAAACATTTAATTATAGACCTAGTCCATTAGGATGTCAACACCTCAGCAGTCTCTTTCCCACAAAGTCAATAATGACCTTTTAAACTTTCTGATTTGCTGAGAAGAAATGTGACACAATTTTCATGTTTACAACCACCTGTGGTGCACCAGTGTAATCAAATGGATGACCATACGTACAGCCACACCACTGCCACATCTCGTTTCATCAGAGGATCACTCTCAAACTCTTCTGAGCATTAGTTCTGTGCTCTCCCATTAGATGGAAGGGAAACTGGACAGTGTGCAGTGGGCTGCAGTAATTACTCATACAGACGCTGTCATATTCATGACAATAGATTGTCCTTGCTTAGTGCAAACAGAGGAATACAGTAGGATAGGGAGCACTTCATCATTCCCCTCTGCAAATGTTTTTTTGCAGACACTTTCAAGGAGCTTTCATTTACATATACAGCGGCATGCGGTGGAGGCAAATCATTTACATCAGTCCATAAGCACTATAGTTTCACCGTAGGGGATGTGTATTCAAACAAGAGGTGCTGTTTCCACGTTACCATTCATCTGGAAGAGCCACATGTATCTCTCTCTGCAGTATTGGTTTACGTGGCTATGAATAATTTGAAGTATTAATTTGAAGCAATTATTTTTAGTGGTGCTTGCATATCTCAAAATGTGTGCTATTACTTTTCTAAGTGGTTAGGTTTATAAAATGTTGACCCGTGGATGTTAAAGTGGGGAAAAAACAGATGTACAGATTTACACTGAAAGAGCAATATCTGGAGACAGGAATATGACAATAATAACATTCAGAATGTTAAAAATCTAGTTAGTATATAATATATTCTTATATTAATATATTAATACCTTACATTATAGTGAGAGACAGTGAGAGAGAACGGCCAATGGATAGGAGGAATGGAACAATTAACAGAATAACAGAATGATAGAGACAGAATGACATAGAGAATGACAGATAGACAGAACAATAGAACGATAGATAGAACGATAGATAGATAGATAGATGATAGATAGATAGATAGATATAGATAGAGCAACAGAACGATAGAACAATAAATAGAACGATAGAACGATAGAACGATAGATAGATAGATAGATAATAGATAGATAGATAGATAGAGATAGAGCAACAGAACGATAGAACAATAAATAGAACGATAGAACGATAGAACGATAGAAAACTTGAAATCGCATCATATGACCCCTTTAAACAAACAAAAGTTGCATCAATGATAAAAATGCTACATCTATAAATAAGTTCTGATGTATGTGAAGGAACAAGGCTCGTTCCAGTCTGTAATGTACCTCTTTAAATTGACAATCAAAATAATGCATTTTCTGACGTGCTTCCCTTCAGGTATCCCAGCAGTGGAATCAGTGAGTCACAAAGTCCTGAATGAGAAATTTCAACATAATGAAAACCAGAAAGAGAGAGAGAGAGAAAAAAAATGCGGGAGCAGCTCTGGGTACAAATGCTGCCGGTGAAATTAGTCTCTCACCTTAAACTGCCCTCATCCTCCCTTTTACTGCCCTTTCAACATGACAATTATCGCATTTTACATCACATTCATCCTTTGCTCTAGTCCTCGCACACTGCTTTCTCTCCCCAGCGGCCGGTTTCTATGAGTTCTCTTCTCGATATTTATATCATTGTTGAATAATTAAAGACTGAAGACTTTTCTCTCTCTTTTCATTATGGAAGTCCTGTTCTCCAGCACATCTGATTGATTTCAAGTAGCTGCAGTGCCCCACTGCTCTCGGCTCAACATTCAGCTTAAAATACCTTAGAAACCTGGGAACTCGCCATTCTTCTTGATTACAATTACCAAGCTATTGAGACACTTTCAATGTAACTGGTAATTAGTGGTGTTTGTTAAGCCAAGCGTAACTGGTACTATTGCTCATACGTAGGGCTAGCAATTTTAACAAGCCTACAGGACGTCTTAGCAACTGCACAGCGATGCCCCAGCAACCGTCCAGGACACTCCTTGTCTTGTGGTGGCCCACGAGTAAGTGCATTTCTCATTTACTACAGCAAGCATGCATAATCTGGTTGCATCTAATAAAATAGACACACACTGTAAAAAATAAGTGTAATTTTAACTGGACAATTTTGTAAAAACGCTATGGAAAAAAACGGTTAATAGGTTAACAGTAAGTTCCCGTACTATATACAGGGAAAAACTGTAAAATATCTAACCAGACATTTCATGTAATTTTACAGTAAAATGCAGTTAATTTTACTTTACTTAAATTAATAGTTTTTAGAAGTAAAAATAACAAATCAATGTATAATTTAGTCAAAAACTGTAAACTGATATTCCCAGAATTCCCTGCATGACACTCCACATTTGTGGCAACCACAGCTGCCAAAATTATTTTGTAAAAACTAGTTTTTTTTTACAGTGCAGTTACGAGAAATAAAGCCATAATTACAAGTAATACATTTGAAATTAAGAGATATAGAGTCACACTGTAAGTTAAAATATCAGAATTGCAATAGATCTTCACAGTTGTGAAATAGCCACAATTATGAGAAATAAAGTCACAACTGTGAGACAATATACGAGAAATAAAAGTCATAATTATAAGTCACTTTATTTTTCTTGATTTCGACTTGATCTCTTGTAAGAGAAAGTAGCATTTAGTTACAGTCTCAAAAAAAAATATTTGCAATTGTAAGATATGAATTCACACTTACAATTTGAGTTATAGTGTTGCATTACTACAAACAAAGCTGCAACTCCGAAATATAAAGTCACATCTGGGAGACATAGTTACAATTACGAGAAATAAAGACAGAATTAGAAGAAATAAATTTGGAAGAAATAAATTTGGAATTGAGAGATACAGAGTCACATCGCAAGATATAAAGGCACATTTTAAATAAATCTTCATAATTGTGAGACAAAGTCGCAATTATAAAGTTGCACTTAAAGTCACAATGTGAGTTATAGTGTCAGATTAATGAAAAAAAGTCACAACTGGTAGACAATGTCACAATTAAGAAAAAAAAGTCAATTACAATAAATAATGTCTACATTGAGAGATATAGAATGACACTGTAAGATATATAGTCAGATTTTTAGTTTGAATGTTGCAATTATAAGATATAAAGTCACACTTACAAGAAAATAGTCAAAATTGAGAGATATAGTCACATTGCAAGAAAACAAATCACATTTTTAGTTAATTATGTCAAAATAGCAATAAATCCTCACAAGAGACAAAGAAATAAAGTTGCAATTGTGAGTCCCAATGTGAGTTACAGTGTCACATTACAAGAAACAAAGTCAAAATTTTGATTGTTACATTGTGAGATATAGTCATATCATGTGATATAAAGTCACAATAAACAATACTTCTATAATTATCAAGTGAGATTAAATAAGAAAAAGAAGAGCATAGTTGTTCAATTCAAGTTTTAATATCTCTTACTGTGCAATAAATTAACATTTACAGAATAAGTTACAGTATCAGTCACGTAAGGATTATTTGTATTCATCATACATCAGCTTGTATATACACAGAGTTCATATGACCTAATGAATGGAGAGAGACAGCAGCATACTGGATTAATTCTACAGATCATCGTCTATTTACTATGAGGAGAGGTGAGGAATCTGTACACAACAAAACATTTGGGAGAGGAGAGTAGGATGTAAACTTGCAAACAATACTGTACTGTCTACAGCACGGTTTGTTCAAACAGCTAGCATATTACATGATTTTAAAGTGTATATCTGCAAAACACAGTTATGTCATCAAGGACACATCATTCAGTCGCTCCACTGTTGTATTATTTACTCAACTTTTCTTGTAAAAATCCAGCAGAACTGACACACTTGTAAACATGTACTGTTTCTTGTCTTTCTGCCAAGACAAGACCCTCTTACATTCCTGGACTGACCTAAAACCTCTCAAATGGATCAAAATCAATAAAAACAGTACTCTAGATCTAAAATATATCATAAATGCCACAAATTGATGACCTAGAACTTAACGTTACATGTTGCACAAAATAATACCAACTGACAGCCAAATAAAAAATTAAACAAGTATCCCAGATATCTACACTTGCTAAAAGAGAGACATGGAGATGGGAACCAAAGACAGCAATATTATTTAAAAAAAATATTCCAGGTTGCATACAAGTTAAGTTTGATCAACAGGGTCATATTATCCATCACCACAGAAAAGACTTTGAGTGAGGTTGAATTTCATTCTCCTAAACAAACCAAAAAAAGTGTTTCAAGTTACACACTAACAACAGAAGCCTATCAGGGAAGTGTACAACTGTACCCATAGAGCTCCAATGTAAGAGCATGAGATGTGAGTTTGATCTTCAATGTTCAATCCATTTCTCACTTGTTTTCCCTCTGTCTCGCATTGTGTGAAGTGTCTTTTTTTTCCCTGTTCCCTGACCGATAGTGAAACTGTAACCAAGAAAAGACAGGATCAGAGCGTGAGAACTACAAATCCCTGTGGACTGACTAAAATACCACCTCACCCCCCTCATTGTTATTCATTAATTTGCAGAGAACATCTGAACCCCCTCCGCTACAGTGCAGTTTTACAATAATGCCACGTCAATCAGTGTAGGTGTGTTAATATTCTACTTCCTCTCGATTACTCAATTTCTTATGTCCAAAAATGGATTCATTATAATGTCTGAATCTTAGTCATCACCCCTGGAGGAGCTCTCCGCTCATCTGAAGCGTGTGGTAGCACTGTTAGTTAGGGGAGCCAGTTTCCACCATCCTCAGTAAAAAAAAATAAATAAATTATATATATATATACTGTGTATATATATATATATATATATATATAATAAAATTAACAAGACTATTGCAGTTTTATTTCTTACAATTATGACATAAAATAACAAAACTTGCAAATGTGACTCTCATAATTGCTTTAGGTCTTACAATGGGCCTCCATTCATGAAACATGAACAGGAAGAATTTGTTTGTTCATAAAGCCATTCTGACGTAAAATTTCGGAGTCATGTTATATGAAATTCCTCAACAAATTGTTCCTAAAACAAATTTCATATAAAAAAATGAATTAGTTAACCAATTAATTAAATGTGAAAACAAATCTCATTAATAAACAAATATGATGCATAGCTGTAATTGAATTATGCTAACTGTGGATTGTTGAATTCATTTAATACTTGTTTAATTATCAAATTTGAGGTTTGAAGCGTTTGTGAATCTGAAGGACAGTTTTCTGGAAGGTCCACTTTATGTGCAAATTCATTCAGATTTACTCATATATTTACAAAACTTTAATGAATGATGCCCATCGTGACTTTGTTTCTCTTAACTGTGACAATATATTTTGATCTGAAATTACTTTTTTTTTTCTCCCCACTCTCAAGTGGAAACGGGCTTCCACAGTTAGTGCCGTTAGTATGTTGATTTCCCGAAGAGTGTTAACTTTATTTGTTTGATCATCCCGACCAGCCTGACACAGCAACACTGGCTCAACCAATGGCATAAGTTTGGGGGTGGGATCATCTGTTTATTTAACCAATAGCAGAGTGTGTTTCGGGAAACCTGTATGTTTTTGCCACAAGGGGCGCTGAAATGACACACTTCACCTTTAAGCAAATGCAGTGTTTTCAGTCTGATTCATTTGTAGTCAGTTGAGAGTCTCGCCTGGAAGCCTGCAGGCAAGCTTTAGCCCTCCAAGATTGGGGTGGAGTAACAGGCAACTCTAATTTCCTGTTTCCTCACAAACTAACACTTCTGTGGTGCTGCTTCACAAAGCTCTCACGCTCTCTATCTCTCTGCTGTCTGTCTGCCCCTGAGGCACCTTTCTCTGCATCCTGTCTCGAGAGGTTCGCCACCTCTCTCTCTACTATTCTATCGTCGACCCTAAATCCTCTCTCGCTCTCCGCCTCTTTCTCCTCACCTATTATACTTCCGACGTCACTAAGGTCGCCCAAGTGCTCCACAGAATCGAACTTCTCTAGGTCGGAGGCGATGGTTTGCAGGCTGATGACTGACATGGAGTCTGACCCCGCCTTCTCCGCCCTCTCTCTCCTGCCCCACCCAGCATCCCTGTGTTTCTCCACCCACTGCCTGGTTTTCTCTTGATCGGCCCAGTCATTATCCATTAAAGGATTGGCCACCACCCCTGCATACGCCCCTGACTGGATTACACCCTCAGACTCCGCCCCCACCGGAGAGCTCCGCCCCCCACGGGCTCTGTTGCGCTCTCTGGCGGCACGAATGCGACCCCTTTGTGCATGGATCTGCTCGCTGATTTGTTCAAGGTTGCGGAGGGCGACAGAATATCGGGTCTTCACCTTCGCCACCCGTTCCTCCAGCTGGACGACTTTGGACTTGTGCTCCTGTTAATGAGTGGTGATAATCATAAAACAATGAATAAAAAGACCATTTGTCACGTTCATGCAACAAATATATTAATGACATTATAGCAATCACAGAAACAAGAGAATCATCCAATCAGAAAAATATTTTAGAATATTTAGGGATGCACTAATATTGAAATTCAATCCAATTATTTTCATGTAATGTCCAATAACCAATAATTGGCTGATGTTATAACGTATACTACTATTTTTTATACTACAAAATGTAATAAACAAAAAAAAATAGTTTGAATTAATAGTTTGTATGCTACAAGTCAATTTTCTGTTCATTCCGTCCACACCTAGTTTGCATTTCATAGAGGATTTCATCTTGTTACTTTAATCGATATGGCCAGCAGACCTTGAATACCTTTACAGCAGAGGCCAGTCTCTGATGCATACCTCTAGGATGTGGTTGAACTGAGCCTTGAGCTCAAAATAAGGCTTGGACTTGATAATGACCCTCTTAAGAGCCTTCTGCAAAGTCTGCACACGCGCCTCTGCTTCCTGACAAAGCTGAGTGACATGTTGGTGCTCCCTCTCGCTCCTCAAACGCTCCTCTTCTGCCTCGTTCACCTGCAAACAGCACCATGACAAATGTGATATCCTGTTCCGTTCTCAAAAGACATTTAATCGAATTTATTCTCATATCTTTCTGTATCATTCATACAAAGATATGACAAGTTGATATCGCATCAACCGTCAATAACGGATTATTCTTAAGAGTTTGTAGAAACCTAGATTGACGATAGCATTCAGGAATGTTAAAGATACAGTACTTTTGTATCAAGCTGATACTAACGGTTAAAGAAAATTCAATAATATCAATTGGTCTACAGTGTGGCTGTTCAATATATTTCTGAATGTTTTTGCCGTTTCTGAAACTTTTACTGTTAACTTTATTCTTTGTTCTATTGTTTTTAGCTGTTATATCACTGGTAATTTGTTTCTTTATTCTATATTTTATTGCTGACTTTTTACTAAAATGGTTGAGTAAACTGATTTTTTTTTTTTGCTTTAAGTTAACATGAATTGTGAAGTAAGACAGGTTACTGACAAAGAAAAAAAAGCAAGACTTTTGTTATTTATCTGGGAATTGAATAAATTGTTAAAAGTGGGCATTACAAAACAGAATAGAGCCAGACTGAATGTGAGTTTGCTAAAATAACTATCTGGCTATCCAGAAAACCATTCGGCCTGAGTGACATCAGGAGAAAAGTCACTGCAGAGAAAGTTATTACATCTGGATTAAAGATAACAAAGACAATATTATTCTTTGGAATAACATGCACCAATAAATCATCCACAGTAAGACCAGGCACATCCAATGTTTTTGTTCTGTTGTAATTTGTTTCTTTGATATTTGTATTACCATTTAGTCAGTAATAAAACGTTCTGTTGTAATTTGTTTCTTGGATATTTTTTTTTATTACTGACTGTTTAGTCAAATGATTAATTAAAAAACTTGAAGCATTGTTTACTTAATTTGTATCTTTGTTCTATTGTTGCTATTCTATTGCATGTAATTTCTTACTTTTATCATTTTTTTATTGCTGACTAGTTACTTGAATGATTAATTTGAAAACTTCAAGCACTGTAATTTGTATTTTTGTTCTATTCCGTGTTATTTTTCTGTACTTTATTACTCTCTGCTCACTTGAATGATTCATTTATAAACCTGAATCAGTGTTTACTTCATTTGTAACTTTGTTCCATTGTTTTTATCTGCTATTTTGCATGTCATTTGTTCTTTAATTTATTACTGACTGTTCACTTGAATGATTTATTGAAAAACTTGAGGGAATGATTATAATAAAGAAGTGATTTAATAGTATGTAAGTATTTTGGATTTGGAATCAAGAATCTTGAAATTTCACTAACATTGGTATCGACAACTGAAGTTTTGGTGACAACCCAACTGGAAACAAAAAACTGTAGGATAATTTCACATCTGAAAAGTGCTGCTTCATTTTACTGGCAGGGCTTGAATAAAATATAAATGAAGAAATGTAACCTTGATCTTTAAGTGTAGGTGTGCATTCATCAGCATTATTGATTGCTCCCACTGTGACAATCAAATCCACACTTACCAGCTGTGCACATTTAAAGACACATTAAGATCTAACAAACAAAACCTATAATTGTGATGACGAGGGATTGATTTTAGCCATTAAGACCTGTTGTAAACCTAAGAGCACTTGTGTTTTTGAGAAAATTTATGCCACCGCCTATTACCGTAATTATCAAAGAGCAATGCTGAGTCACTGGGTCATACCTTGGCCGTGGCGTGGTTTAGCATCTCTTGCCAGGTAGGGTCCAATGTGTTCCTGTCAGCCAATAAACCTTGCTCAGCCACATAAACCATCTCTCTGGCAGCCGTGTGCATGGAGACAGCCCTCTCGTACCTCAGCGCTGCCTTCTGGGTCTCCTGTTGAGCCTGTGGGTAAGGTCATCCATCATATTTCATATATAGCAATCAATCACTCAGCTCTGTAAACATGCAGCCAATCAGAGGAAGGGATGCTGACCTTACAGAGAGCCATAAAGTGAATAGGCACTGCAAATCCTTCCAAACTTTATATCAGGTTATATGTATGTAATAAAACACTAGCTACGGGATGTGGGATTAGTATGGAAGAATATAACAATTCAACAGCAATATTATTTTTTTATGCAATAAAAGAAAATATAAGAGAGAAGTACTCTGTATAGTACTTCTCAAACCACAAACCATAACCATCCACTTTAAATAATGAGGATGAAATGGCCAATAGGAGTTGAGGACTGTAAAGCTGACATCCAATCCAATCGTACCGCAAACAAGGCTGGATCTGAAAACCGTTTAGCTCAAAAAAGCCTGGCTTGCTGTCAGTGAAAATTGCTGTGCACAGATCAGAACACCCAAACCAATCAATAAAAGTCAGGAACCGGGAATGTCAGGCCATATTTCATTGGGATAACTTGCTAGAAATATGGCATCCTCGCCAAGGATGATATCGGACTTTGGCTAGGTTCATATCGACAATTGCATTTACTAGCAGACACTTCAAATGTTCAGTTTATAGGAGGGGATCGAATGATGTCTGTATGACTGAATATCTGAAGCCAAGACCCTTTTTTATTGTTGCGATAGCCATGAATATCACCTGTAAACATAGTGACAGGAACAAAAGTCAATATCTAAGATGGCGAAGTGTAACTCCAGAAAGTCTCATCAGAACCGAAAGTACATTATGTAATAAATGTAAGGTTCAAGCCAAAGCTTAATAAACCAACAGTAGAATTGAGAAACCTCAACACATACATGCAGAAGAGATTGGCTCTTCATTGAGGTTCATACAGCACAGTTCAATTGAACTCGCTCTCAAAATTCAGTTGTGAGACCTGAAAATCTCAGCAGGTAAGGCTGAATATAAAATAAGGATACCGCTCTTGTTTATAACTGAAAGGTTTGTAAGCATATTTAGCATTCAAAACAGGACTGACAACCAAATTCTGCTGCTGTGTAAATGTAGCCTTTATTTTGAACAATATTGACTGGAAAAGATTTATTCAAATCACTTGGGAGGAGTAAAATATGCCTATAAAAGGGTTTCTTAAAGCATAAGGTCACTATTAAAAGCAGACACACATCATTTGCAGAAAACTATGCCATATTTCTCAGGAAACCTTATCAGAAGGTATAAGACTTAAATACGAGAACTGAATTCAAAAGTGTTAAGAGGCACTGGATCTTGCTTTAATTTTGTGCATGTGCAAAAAAACAATTTTAGTAATTTACCAGACTGTGGCTGGCCTGTATGACTAGTCGACTAATCAGTCTTAAGAAAGACCTGTATAATTTGGCTGGTTTTGGGTTCACTTGACACAGACATGTTTCTAATGGAGGAGGCTACATAAAATGTATCCGTGCTCAGAGAGCAAAGAAAAATAACAGAATTTAGAGGTCTCGAGACATGTTTTGTTAAAAGTTGGACTATTTTTAACTTGACAATCTGTCTTAAAAATGCAAAGCTCGTGGCGACATGCTCAAACAACAGCACAAGACATGATGCCATGCCAAAGCTATCTGTCTGAATGTGTATGGCTGAAGCAGCGCTGCTCTAAAGGGGATCAATTTAAAGAAGCAACATTTTCGAGGGTGTTTTACAGTAGTATGCAAACTGTCTAACACACATACAAACACACACACATATATATGGTATATATACCAGAGCTGGCGAACAGTGACTTCTTTAAATGGGTATGCTATCTAATTTATTCATTTATCAGAGACAACAAATAAGAAATTCCATGTCAGCTGTCGATTTAAAAGTAGGGCTGTTGCCTGGAATAATCAATAGGTGTATATATTTGAGGAAAACAAAAGGAACAATACAAATCCTCAGACATTTGAATACTTTGCTCAAGCATGTTGCCAAATAACATGCACCTTCAACATAGTTTGTCTATATGCCAAAATGTATGAAAATATGTTTCCAGTGGACTTCCAAAATTTGCTTTGCTTGAAAAAACATATATACAATATATATATATATAATATACAATTACAATGTTTTTTTCCCATTTGATTTAATTGAGTTGAGCATCAAATACAATGTGATTTTTGGTAATCGAGATCAAGCAGCAACAGCACATTTTTCTGCTTTCATAGCTTTCTTTTCCGATTCATAGCAATAAAGCTCAGGCGGCAAAGTTGGATCCACTTGCCCGAATCCCTCCATAACTGCCACAGATTTGCAGAAAATTACCGTCATTTGTCAAATAAATAATTTAAGGACAGTTACATAAAAATTCAGCTTTGCATCACAGAAATAAATTCACTTTTAAAATACATTCAAATAGAAAACAGCTATTTTTAATTGTAAAACTTAATCAATATGGAAAACAACGACTACATTTATTGAGCTTGTCTACTCATCCACACTCAATCTTATTTACAGTTTTTCATGAGAAGGGCTGACGACCAAGTCAAAGTTTAAATTCAGTGTTGGTTCAGTTGTTTTCAATTACTCTCTATAGCCTCAGCTAAACGATTTTCATCAGTTTAATTACATATTCGAAATTGGCTGCAAAATGCTAATGAAAAGCGATGTGCAAATCACATCTCGTGTTATCAGGGTTAATCACATTAACACACTCTCTCTTTCACCATCACTGCATTGAGAAAAGTTTTCTGATTCAGCGGGAGGATTTTTCGCAATAATGAAAGACTGGAAATTAATCAGCAAACTACAAAAACATCTTGAACTCATCTGAGTTCGCAATGTTATGTTCTCTTGCTCTCAAACACACACACACACACACACCTCTTTAGCAAGTCTACGGGCTTCATAGTAAGGTCTGGCTTTCTCGATGCAGGCTCCCAGCTGAGAGCCCTGAGCGTTGAGTTTGCGTGCCGAGTCTGTAAGGATCCTCCTGTAGCTGGATCTCGCTTCCTAAACAAGTGTTAGAAAGAGATAATGAGAGAGTGAGAAAAACAATGCTTAATTTGGCACGTTGAGTAAAACACGTAAATAATAGATATATTAATACTCTAATTTAGTGGTTCTCAACTGATGGGCACTCAACCTAAACATGGCTCACAAAGACAGTAGCGAAATAAACAATATTGAATGAAAATAATAAAGTGTGACAGAACGCATAGTTAGGATTCCAAAATAAATGTTCAAGCCAGGGCTTGAACTCAAACTAGCCCACATGGCTAGTTTGACTTATTTCTCTCTCCCTTTTTCTTTTTTTTTTAAAGGAATTTTGAGAAAATATTGTGTAAAACACTGCGTCACATACACTACCATTCAAAGGTTTGGGGTTGATAAGATTTTTCAATGTTTTTGAAAGAAGTCTCTTATGCTCACCAAGACTGCAGAGCAAAAACACAGTAAAAACAGTAATATTGTGAAATATTATTACAAATAAAAATAACTGTTTTCGATTTGAATATATTTTAAAATGTAATTTATTCATGTGATGCAAAGCTTAATTTTCAGCATCATTACTCCAGTCTTCAGTGTCACATGATCCTTCAGACATCATTCTGTGCTGATTTTCTTCTAAAAAAATAAAAATTTCTTAGTATTATCAATTCTGAAAACAGTTGTGCAGCTTCATATTTTAATGTAAACCATAATCCTTTTTAAAGAACAGCATTTATTTAAAATATAAATCTTTTGTAAAATTATAAACATCTTTACAGTTACTTTTGAACAATTTTATGCATCCTTATTGAACAATGAATTTCTTTTAAAAATTTCTTACCGATCCCAAAGTTTTAAACAGTAGTGTATATTATAAACACTGTGTCATTGCACTTCATCAATTTTGTGCACATCTCATTTGCTGTTGTTAAACTGCATTATGTTCAATATAAATTACTATGATATCAGCCCTTCTCACCAGACACTGATCATTAAAAAGAAATCTATTTATTGGTCACACAGATTGTAAACTTGCCGGAACTAATTCTAGCTTCACAAAATAGAGGTAAGACAATAGAACAGGAGTGAAGTGAGCGCTATTATTAACTACTGTAACCAAATGTAATGACAAGATATTATATCGTTCAAAATTGAAGCTCTCTCTAAGGCTGTGTCCCATTTTAGGGCATCACGTGTGCATTTTGAAACAGGATGTGTACCCTTAACATCTAAAGACACTGTCTAAGTAGTGAGCTCACTAGATTTTGAGACACAGCCATAGTGTCATACATATTACTCACATCCAGCTGTAGTTCCAGTCTGTTGATCTCATCACTGGCCTGATTCAAGTGTTCCAGCTCCTCCTGACAAATGCAAAACAGGGAGGGAAGACAGTTGACATTAGTTTACTATTAACAGAAGTATTAAATAACAGACAAAGGCATATTAATTTATACAAAACCAGCAAAATCACAGACAGACAAATCATATTATAACATTTTGCTATTATAATCCATTAATTGAAGCAAACTGTGTAATAATATATGCCATAGTTCACAGAGTTCACAGTCATAGTCACAATATCAAGTTTATTTTGGGTCCAAATCCTAATAACGTTAACGTTACCTGAATCCTGGGGTCCAGCTCTTCCTCATATTGCTCCTCATCTTCATCAAACTCAGCCTTATCTTTCTCCGCCACCACAGTGTTCTCGGTTTTGCTCGTAGTTTCCTCGTTTCCTCCATCCCCGCTTCTGTTTTTCAGGGTATCGTCCTTCGCCCCAGTCTCCACCGCGGCGCTCTCCTCTCTCCACTCCCCTGACTCAGGCTCCCCGGATCCGGGGGGGTTCTCACGCTGCTGCCCCGGTTCCATCCGTGGCCTTGAGAATGACCCGTTTTGTTCTTAGAAATCAGAATATATAAGTGCTTAAATGTTTGCCATTCCTATACATTTATATCTACCCGAGAATTTACCGGTAAAGTGCTACATAATCGGAGAATGAGAGTCATTTAACGGCGCAGGCGTGTTGTTTGCAGCGGAGCCGTCAGCGCAGAATGACCCGAGCTAAACCGTTAGCTTCGCGGCTAACTGCAGAAATCACAGCCTCTCCAGACCTGCTCAGGGCTCGCAAATACAGCGACAGCTCCGACCTGACAGATACTAGACAGTCACTCTTGATAGTTTCCGTTATTTCTTACCCTCCCTATTTCTCCTTCTCTCTCTAGCTGCCAGGATGATCGTTACAAACATTTTCCATGGAAACCAAAGTTTCCCTCTTAGTTACTCCAGTTATTGTTATTATTACTGTAAAATCATCCTAAATTACTGAGGGATCTTCAAACAGTATAAGTAACTCGGGGGAAAAATTTGTTTTTTGTTATTTTCTTTATTTATTTGATAACAGTGGTGGCTTATACAAAATTACAATTGTTTTATTGTACTAGCAAAAACAACTAAGTGTAAGTAAAATATGTGATCTGAGAAACCTATCAAGTATTTCACGTTAAAAAGTAGTATTTTATCCTGAAACATCAAATGTAATAAATTACATTAAAACGTGTGACATTATTAACATTATTTTGATAATTAAGTGCATTTTCGTATTTTTCTTATTACCATATTGCAAAGAAAATACCTCATTAGCCTATAATTCCTATTATTTATTTATTGCATTCATTTTAATGGAAATTTGTTTTGGAAATAGAAATTCTCCAGAAAATAATATATGAATGGTCCTAAAAATAAGCATTATTTATTTTATTTCAAATATAATTATTTTTTATTCATAATTTATATATATATATATATATATATACACACACTGAACAAAATTATAAACGCAACACTTTTGTTTTTACCCCCATTTTTACGAGCTGAACTCAAAGATCTAAGACTTTTTCTATGTACACAAAAGGCCTATTTCTCTCAAATATTGTTCACAAATCTGTCTAAATCTGTGTTAGTGAGCACTTCTCTGGATGGATTATCTCGGCAAAGGAGAAGTGCTCACTAACACAGATTTAGACAGATTTGTGAACAATATTTGAGAGAAATAGGCCTTTTGTGTACATAGAAAAAGTCTTAGATCTTTGAGTTCAGCTTATGAAAAATGGGGGCAAAAACAAAAGTGTTGCGTTTATCATTTTGTTCAGTGTATATAATTTTTATTCATTCATCTTTTAAAAATAGTGGGAAATGTGAACTGGAAGTTTTCATCAGATTCACCCATTAAGACTCACATTTATTCCTCTCCATCATCCTAAAAGCTGAAACTGAATTCTGTCATTTTCCCCGTAATTACATGTGACTGAAATGTACATTTCATGGCCTAAATTTCCATGTCAAAAGAGATAGCAATCAGTGTAAACAGTATTTCTTTTAGTCAGTTTACCTCAGACACACACATGAAGCAAGTACAAAAGCTAAATTAAGTCAGTAAGGGAATAATAATGCAAATACCTCTCATAAACAGTAAAAAGCTTTGAACTATGTATAGAAACAGTTTTTTTTTTCTCTAGACAGATGAACTTGCAGTGAAATACACAAAAATAGTGCTCATTACAGATCATTTCTCCTGTCCATCTAATAAGCTGTAATTTTCAGAATAATTCTCAAGTGAATGATGTATTTTGTAGTCTTTCAGGGCTGTTCTTCCTTTTTTCCTTTATGTATGGCTCTTTTGTCTCTTCCAGAATCTCTTAACCTCGCTGTGTCCATGTGGCGTCACCACTATGACCCTGTGAGCGGGGTTCTGCCAAACCAGCACACCTAAATCCTGCAGGACAGACGTTATACTGTCAGGACTGTGTGCATCACTGCAGGACAGCCGGTCGCTGCTTATGAAGTATAGCTAGTACAAATGGAAAGATTATATTTTTTACCTGAGCCCTGTCCCGCAACACTTCAAAATCAGCCTGGGATAAAAACTGGTTGTATAACATTCCTGAAAGAAAGAAAAACGTGGTGTAAAATACACAAAATGCATCACCGAGGCGTTAGTATATTTTCAGATGCCGTTTTTGACCCCTACCCCAAACCTGATTCCAATGCTAATTTTTTATTTGCATTACATTTCTCTAACACACATCTTATTCAGTCTGACATTTACATTTGAGAGAATGAACCCTGCAGGTCACCCATGCAATGGAAACAAATTATTTATGTCATAATATCATCAAGATGTCATTTCTTTTTTTATATATAAAATTGAGACAGCCATTCCCAAAGGTTACATTTGAATACAATGGTAACAATGTATTATTTAAATAACTGAAATTACTAATGTATAAAAATAATTATGTAATATGTACTAGTGTTATCTGAAGGAAACACAATGTAAATTTGCTTTGGAACTACAGAACTGGTCTCATAAGCACAAAGACAGACTCACCCTCAGTAAACTGTAAGCGATCTTTCTCGAGCTCCCACAGTCTGATCTGATCTGTGATGGTTGGGGGAAGGACTGGGGTCTGAAAGACAAAATGACACGCGGAAACATGTTCATGCATCAAGCAGTGAATATTTGCATAGCAGTATAGAGTTTTCATGATAAACCTCACCATATTGCACAAGGGAGACACCTAAGGGACATCTAAGCCTATAAGGGGAAACTACAGAGAGCTGGAAGATGACAGTTAGCATTTTGGTTAAATGCCTGAAATATGGTCTGTGGTGAACACAAGCTCAAGATATTTTCACATTTTACTCTACCACATAAAATACAGTAATACCCCTTTGTGATTTGTTTTAAAACTTTTACTTGTCTTGAAAAAAGTGGTTGCTAACCATTGGCTAAATGGGACTACAAAGATTGCTGAGGACATTAAACATTACACTGAACCAGGGGCGAAGATCACGCGGGGGACGTGTCCCCCCCCCCCACTTTTACATATCACGTAAATTCATCCCCAGCACTTTTTCAGGCAAGTGTGTTTGCATAGAGGTTTTCAAGAGCCAGTGTGAATAAATATAGATTTAAATTCAAAGAGACAGGATAGTCTGTGCATGACCTGATGTTTTATTTGGACCCAGAATAAGGCGAGATGAACATCTCGGAGCGCTATACACTCTCATGCAGTGTGTGTTTCATTCATACTCGAAGCCGGAGGCGCTCTCGCGCAGAAAGTCGTACCAGGAAATCACAAATATGGACAAAAGCATCCAGCTATCGCTGTATGAAAAGAGTTGTTTACTTTTCACAGAAAAACAGAAACGTTTGGAAACATGAAGACATTAAACATATGACTGCGACAATATATGGTTTATTTGTGTTTGTCAAGTCATCTCCAGGTAATAAATAAAGTATATGAACAATCAGAAATCATTCTGATATTCTGATTTGCTGCTCAAAAAAATAAAAATATTATTATGATGTTGAAAACAGCCGAGTAGACTTTTTTCAGGTTTATTTGATGAATAGAAAGTTCAGAAGAACAGCATTTATCTGAAATAGAAATCTTTTGTAACATTATAAATGTCTTTATCATCACTTTTGATCAATGTAAAGCGTCCTTGCTAAATTAAAGTATTAATTTCTATAATTTCTTTTCCAAAAAAAAAAATAAACTGACTCCAAGCTTTTGAATGGTACAGTATAGTGTACAAGGTTACAAAAGCTTTTCATTTAAGATAAATGCTGATCTTGGGATCTTTCTATTCGTCAAAGAATCCTGAAAAAAATGTACTCAACTGTTTTAAATATTGATAATAATAATAATAAATAAAAAAGGTTTCTTGAGCAGTAAATCAGCATATTAGAATAATTTCTGAAGGATCATGTGACACTGAAGACTGGAGTAATGATGCTGAAAATACAGCT